TTGATAAACAGATTCAAAATCGAGGGTTTATTAGAGGTCTGCTTTTCTTGAGAATTTTAGTTTACTAGACATAATCCATGCTGTTTATGCACACATTTTCTCAATAGATGGTAAATCTTCTGCTTCTGGCAGTGGCTTTCCTGCTAAAAACCTCTCAAACAGCACAAGTGATCTCTCTGGCTGTGAGAATGGAGCTTCATGTGATGCTCCTCTAATGGTGGCAAAAGATAATATATCACCATATACTTGTGTCCATCCTGCAACCTGTCTTCCTTCAAACCAAGCTCTGTAAGGTGCTGTTGTGTTCAGTCCCAACTCCTTTGCCAATCCATTAATTAGCCTTCTTGTTCCAGTTAGTGGGATAACTGAGTCTTGATCGCCACTACAAAGATTTAAAATTATTCTCAGATTCCTTCTTTTAAATATAAAAGTTCAAAGGAAAATCATCCCATGAATAAAGAATCTCAATTACCTATAAACCAAAACCTGGATACCTGATCTCACAAGCCCACCTAGAACATGCATGGTAGATATTTCTAGATCTTGCATCTCATATCTGAGGACACTGTCATCCACAGAAGAAGTTTAAAGAAAAAGAAAAACAACTGGAACTAGGAAAGCTTTCTCATTTTTTATGTGATTTATGCTCTTGAATCTGTCATTCATCGTCAACATACTTACTCACTACAAACGGTCCATCCACTCAATCCAACAAGCTGAGAATGCAAAGCTTCCTGTACATCTTTTCTGTTCATGTATTTAACTGTTTCATCTTCAAGACAAACATCTACCCCCTCTCTAGTTGGCTGTACATGGGAATTCAATCACTTGAATAGCATCAGAAATCAATATCAGATAAGAAAATGCCAAGGCAAGAGGTTGCGGATAATATCAATGGATGGAGCTTGAGTCTCACCATTTTTTTCAAAATCTCAGATTGCGCAAGAACTGAAGATAAACAGACATCAAGAGTAACATCATATACATCAATGAATTTGCTAATTTCTTCGGAAACTTGGTTCATTACTCCAGAACAAACAGGGGTAAGAGAGCCACTGTCTCTCTCCCTCCTATACTGAGAGTAGTTGCAGACCGATGTGAAAATTTCAAAGGTTGCATCAGATATTAGTCCATGTGACCAAAAGAACTCTGCCCGTGAGTTGAAATCGTTATTGAATTCCAAAAGAGGATTTCCAATCTGCAGATAGCAGATTTTTAGCTTATTGTCTCAATCAAAAGATTCGTAGGAATTACTTAGAATACTCACTGCTATTCCCTTCAGATTGAATTTGGTTTTGGATTGAATAATGAGTTCTCCAAGTTGGGGAACATAATGACCTGGCGACAAGCAGAATTCTCAGTGCCCCTTCATCTTCTTCCTAAAATTTTCTGGGAGCTTGAAATGAAAGTAGAAGGATTATGGATGCATACCTCCATAGCTCTCACCAGTGATGAACAAATCTCTGTCTTTGTATTCTGGGAATTTGGTGAACCATTTCTGGAGGAATGCTAGATTGTCTCGTGCTTCAAAAAGGTAAATCTCGGAATCAGTTTTAGGTGAAACTACATTCAATTTGAAGTAATCGAAGCAAAGTTCCGTTTGAACTAATTTGATGAAGTATGTTGCAGATGGAAAATGGCAAGAAACAAAAACCTGTCATCTCATCATTCACAGAGGCATAGTAAGACTTGTTTGCAGAATAGGAGAAGCCTACTCCTGCAGGGGACTCCAGGTATAACATGTTTGCTCCTGCACATTTAGTATTCGAAATAATCCGATTATAAATTTGAGTTCTTTTAGTTGATTTCATTTATCTGTCTTCCTACTGATATATTTACAGAGAGGAAAGAAGATTGAATATTGATGGGTTTACTTTTGTTCCAGCTATATATATTGCTGACCAGAATGTCTCCACTTGGTTTGAAAGGGCCATGCTCACAGAAAGCTCCTGCTCCAATAGATGAACAGCCAGGCCCTGCAGAGCAATTAAAGCTCTAAAGTTTAAGTATAATCAAGAAGACCCAGAATGAATCTAGGTTTTGGGATACAATTGGGTGATGTCAAAGGAAACTTTACCTCCATTAAACCAGAGAACAAGAGGCTTTGAAGCAGGGTCTGTTTCTGCTTCAGCAAAGTAGTAGAAGAGAGCTCTCTGCTGATTTTCATCCACAGCTATGTACCCGGCGTATTGCTGGAAACTGACTGGCGGCTGGCCTGGTAAGTTTACTATTCTATCAGCTTCTGAGAGGGATTTTGCAGCTGAAACTATATGGATTATCATCAGTGCATGTGTTATTACAATGATATCTACCCATTTTTGAGTTTGCATCATAACTGGAGAAAGAGAGGATTGGCAGAGAAGCTTGAGGGTGAAACTAGATTGCAGGAGATGAGTGGTTTATGATAAGACCTTTGGTGGATGGATGCCGATGCATATTAGTTTGTTAAGTTTGAGTTAGCTGCTAATAGCATGACAAACACAAATTCTAGTGCATAAATGTGGAATCTTTAGTTGGGTTTGTGGGGCAAAAAGTGGTGTCCCCTATAGTGGAAAAAGCTCCTATCTTGGTATGGTGTACAAAAGCTTGATAAGAAATGGACAATCAATCTGTCTTCAATTGGTTTTAGAAGTTGAATGATAAGGGAATAGGACTAAATCATGAGTTGTTAATCACCGGTCACTCATTGGATTAATTCAAAGAAACTTTTATTACATCTAAATAGATTACTGATATCTTTGGAATATGTACCATAAAAAATGATATCTTTTGAATATTTCACCTAATGGGATGGTGTTTAAAAAAAGTATGAAAAATACTTATTTTAGAAATAATTTTTTTATAAATTTAAAAATTGATTTTTAATCAAATTTTAAAAAAATGACTTTTTAAAGGTAGTTTTAAATAAGTTTAAAAATTTTAGATTTATAATTTTTTTAAATTTTATTTAAAAGTAACTTTAAAAATTAATTTTTAAATTTTTTTTAAAAATTTTAAATTTATAAAAAAAATTAAATAAATATATTTAAAATTTATCAAACATCTTCAGAGTATGATAAAATAGCAAAAAATTTTATTTTAGTTTGGACTGGCCTAAAAAGCTAGCCATGGCTAAAAGACGAATGTTTGCTTGATCAAAGATATTTAAGTCTCTTCCAACGACATTTTTTTTATCTGAAAAGATTTAACTTGTTAAGATTAATATGAAAAGGGTTACCGTTGTTTTTTGAGTCAAAATGAATGGTTCTTTCAATATTGAACGGATGTAGGACCCTTAATGTTATTCTCCATGGTAAAAAGCTATACTAATATACTGACTTTTTAGAAAGGAGAGAAAGAAGAGAAATACAACCAGACAAAAATATGGAGTTTCTTTGAAAAATGGTCCTAAGGCCCCACATAATCTTTAGAAAAATAGTGTGTCCACACCCCAAAAGCATTTTGCCATTGATACTTTCTAACGTCAGAAAATGAACACACTACCTTGAAAATATCATCCATCTCTCAATCATGATTGAGATGTCATATGGATAATGTTACTACCTAGGCCATTGAAATCTGAAATATTAACACAAACACAATAATATCCATGTAAATATTTCAGGATTACTTTGTTGTTTTTGAAGAGACTCATGAAGTTATAATTTTTCATAAATTATAGACATGCTATACATACGGTTTTTCTTTTGAACATTAAACATTGGGAAAACAAAAGTTGAAGGTAGATGTGGCTTATTCTCTGAAAAATTGTCCCCATTCATATTTTAGGAATATATTGTGTTCACATGCATTTTTAAAGATAAAAGAAAAGTAAAAATTATGATATTGTTATTTTAAATATCAAGATTGTTTGTGAATTTGTTCAAATATTTTAATGAATCTTTATTATATGCTGATTGAGTTAATATCCACTTACAAATAAGTCTTACACACTATATTTACATAAAATTTTGACCATTCATTTTTTCACTATTAATAATTAAAATTTATTCATTTTTTATCTTATTTGTTAAAAATAATCATATTTTTTATCTAAAAAGTTATGATAAATCCTAACTATTAAAAATAGAAAAATAAATTATCAAAATTTTATGTAAATATAGTGTGTAAAACTTGTGTATAAAAAATCCATATTCATGTTGATTTATTAACCGTATTTAAGTTTTTTTATTATCATTTCAATTATTTTAATTACTAAAACATTTTATTTTCCTCAATCCCTTAAAGCTAATGCCCTCCTTTTAATTATAATAATTTCTAACACAAAGTTACTAGTACTATCCTCATTCCTATCTTATGTATTAGAGAAAAACCATTTCTTATTCATCTTTCATAGAAATATGAATACTAATCTTATTAATGAGTTCAATACAAGGACTAAAACACATGGTAGGGTAGGGTATCAAACATCTGGCAGAGGTTTCCCGACCAGAAACGCCTTAAAGAGTGTAAGGGATCTCCCTGGTTGCGTAGAAGGAGCTGTATGAGACGCTCCTCTGATGATTGCATAGGATAATATATCCCCATAAACCTGTGTCCACCCACCAACCTGCAAGATCAAAAACTTCAAACCTTGAGGTCTTCTATCCAATATGCTTATGACTATCTTTTACTGTATAACTCACAATTATAACAAATGAAAAAGTTTTACGGATCACTATACCTGTTTACTCTCGAACCAAGCCCTGTAAGGCACAGTTGTTTTGAGTCCCATCACCTTGGCTAGTTTGGAGACCAAAGTTCGAGTTCCGGTGAAGGGGATGGCAGAATCCTGATCTCCACTGCAAATTAGTTCATTTATACACAACCATTTAGTATTATTCAATTTATCCTATTAATAATCTGTTTAGAGAGAGGGGAAGGAAAGAGGAAAAGATTGGATTTTCCTCCCATTAAATGGTGGTTTACCCCGCATTCTCTCAATCCAAACACGTTGTAAGAGTGAATAAAACAACAATTGTTATGGTACCTGTAAACCATTACACGAATGCCCGACTTAACTAGTGAGCCAATGACATGAAATGTTGAGTCCTCAAAGTTATTCTCATAGTGCGCTAGCCTAAAAACAAAAGCTCAAATCAAGAAAATTTCCATTACTCAAGAGCAATTAAACCAAGAATTTTAGAACATTTATTGAAATTATATAAGGTTGCATAGGTAAATCATAAATTTATTTACGGGTTGCATAGGCTCCAGGTGGTGACTCCAACAAGCTTGGCATGTACAGCTTCTTGCACATCTTTCCTGTTCAAGTAGTTGGTTATTTTGTCCTCAGCACAAACATCTACCTCTTCTTTCCCACTAGCCCCTTGCTGAAATCAACCAGAGGAATCCAATACAAGAATCAAACAAAATTGTATTAGAATGTCAATTGTATAACTCATCATCAGATGACTTAACCTTACCGGCTGATTCAGGACGGTATCTTGCGACATGAGAGATGAAATATGTCGGAGTCTGGACCTGGACCAAGCTGGCTGACTGAGCAACGACGTTTGCGACCCATTGGAGGACGATAGGCAGACGTCAGCAATGACATCATAGCTGTCAATAGAATTAGAGATCTTTTCAAAGACTTTACTGTCAACTTCAGCACAAGCAGGGGAAATGGTGCCTTTGATGGCTTCCCTCGTGAACTGAGAATTGTTGCATAATGACTTCACAAGCTCATAAGCAGAATCTGATATCAAACCATGTGACCAGTAATATTCATCTACCGAGTTCAGATCATTGTTGAATTCAATTAGAGGATTCCCAATCTGCATCAAATCATCAAGGGTGAATCAAGATGGAAGGAAATTCATCTTGTGTTAATCATGGTATGTATGTACTTACAGCTATTCCTTTTAGATTCTGCTTCATCTTACTCTGAATAACTAATTGGGCGAGTTGAGGGACATAGTGCCCTGCATAGCTCTCTCCCGCAATGTAAAACTCTCTGTTCTTGTACTCAGGAAAACGAAGCAACCAGCGTTGCAGGAACATGAGATTTTCTCGTGCTTACAGAGTAAAGATTTGGGTCAGCTTCACATAAAATTATTCAGAATCATAATTAAGGTGAAGGTTAAAAAGAACCTGTGAAATCATCATTCAGATTTGCATAAAATGTTTTGTCAGTTGAATATGAAAAGCCAACACCTGCTGGTGACTCCAAGTACAACATATTAGCTTCTGCAAAAAGATACAAATGCTTATTAGTACTTCAACTGAAACAAAGTCATTCAAGTTTTGTTTTATCTGAACTATACAATAGAAGACAGCTCTTCAGGCACATCTTCGATGTACCTTTATTCCAACTGAACTTATTTCTAGCTAGAGTCTTCCCATTTGTCTTAAAGGGACCATGCTCCATAAAAGCTCCAGCTCCAAAAGATGAACATCCAGGTCCTGTAACACCAAAACTAGTTGAAATGAGAAAGTTGTAAATATGCAGAAAAATTAGAAGAAGAAAGGGAAAACGTGAGTCCACCTCCGTTTAACCAAAGAACAAGTGGTTTTAAGGAAGGGTCAGTTTCAGCTTCAACAAAGTAGTAAAACAGAGCTCTCTGCTTCTCGTCGTCAACAGTGATGTAGCCAGAGAACTGCTGGAAACCGACTTTTGGTTGCCCTGGAAGGGCAACAATTTTGTCAGCTTGGTAAAGGGATTCTCCCATTACCCATATCTGCATAAAAGTAGCTATGGCTATGGTGGTAGTAGTAATAGTTATCCTTTGTTTGGATTTCATGGCTAAGAGAAGTGGGAGGAGGAGCAGAGGAAGGCAAGGGAATGAGTGGAATGAGATGAGAATGGAGGACCGAAAGGGAAAGGATTTGGATTTATTAAAGAGAGTAGACATGGAATTGACATAAAAGAAATTATTGTGACCCATTTGCATGTGTTTCACATTGACAAAATATAAAAACATTTTTTTTTTTTTGGCAATCCCCCATGTGGCTCATGGTGCAATGGTAGTTACGGTATCCATTGTGCAGTAAGCAAAATGCACTCAATTTCAAGGTTACAAAACAACATATACTAATACTTAATTTAATAATTTTTTCTGTCAAAAAAATAAAATAAAATAAAAACATTTCTTTTGGTCTAAAGCTTTGGTAATTAACGTGGGGGTGGGAATAAAGGTGATAAAATCATTTGAGCAAATGGAAAAGGAATCTGGAAATTAATTAAGTAGAAAGTGCAGCTGGGTTTATTTTGAATAATACAATAATGGTGAACAGCTAGGCCACATGTATCATGCCTTTGATTAGGGTTTGTAAATGAATTGAGTAGTTCATAAGTTATTCAAGTCAAGTTAGACTCAATCAATGACTTTATTGAGCTCGAGTACACGCCTAGATGATTAATTACTGTATATTTGGGTTGAGACCAATGAAGGGAAAAAGATAAAAAATGGTTTTTTAATTAATTAAATTATAATATTTTTAAAATATTATAATTTGATTTATCGAAAGATCTTCTCTTTTTATCTTTTCTCTTTTATTTCTTTTAATCCAAATACATTATTAACAAGTTCACAAGTAATTCCATTAAAATAAAAAAACAAATAAATTATATAAATAACGAAATCCAGTTTTGCATGTCCTCATGTAAATTAAAAATAAATGCATAACATATGTTCTTGTCTTGGAAAATTTAACAAGTTTGCGCTCAATGTAATTAAATGAGCATTCGAGTTGATTGTGACTTGGTCTCCGCGAATAGATTGGTTGAGCTCGATTCATATACATATGAGCATGAACTACAACTTCAATTCAATTTAATAATTTTAATTAGAATCAAGTATTATACAATTCAAAGGATATGCATGTAAATAATATATAAAATTAGTTAAGAGTCTAGTATTTAGTAATTAGACTACAAAAACACCAATTTATTAGATGAAGGACCCTCCCCATCATATGTAGACTTAACAGCTTATAGTACTTAGGCTACTAAGGAATGTTGGTTTTGGACTCCTCAATTGCGCACATGTACAAATCAATTGCTTGGATAGTTCTTCCTAAAATAGGAAATTTTTTTTCTGGGATTGACATGTACTTAGCAGCAGCCATAACTAGACAAGAGCTTACAATTCAATTCCAAAATCAATTTCGTATTAGAAGTATAGATAGAAACAAAACTATTCTCTAAAAAAGATTACTGGTTAAGACATAAAAATTCACTTTCTTATTGAAGGATGCTAATATAAAGTTTTTTTAAAAGAAAAAAAATCATAAAAGAACCCTTCAAAATGCACATTCTTAGCTACCCCATTAAAACGCACTATCATGGCCGAGAGAAACAAGACTTTCCCAGCAAACATGGTACCAGACATCCTTAAACTCAGGCATCCCAACTATCTCCACCCTTTGTCTTGTTTTCTTTTCCAGGTTATACCAAACAGCGTTGACTTCATTTTTTTTAGTATTAAACGTCCTAGTATCCAAATCCCATAAGAAGAAGTTCTCCCAAATCTTGTCTCTCCACTCGGACCACAAGTCATTGGCAAAAGCTTGCCATCATTACAAAGGAGAATATTATCCCCATTCTTTGAACATGTCAAAGGCCAACAAGGGGAGATAACATGATCAACCCACCCTCAAACTACCTCCTGCTTCATCTCCACCCTTGTCTCTCACACCTAAGTAAAACTCTTGAATTCAACCAGATACTCTAGTAATATAGAGGTTACTATCAGCAACCACTATATCAGTAAGGTACAACCCTGCCTCTTCAAGAGGTTTTTTAAAAAACTCCTCACTTGCAAGGTTAAAACCAAGTATCATTTCTTCTTCATCACCGAGCCAATACAGAGCACCATTTGCAAAACTACCTTCATCTTGTTAAGGGAGGCCCGTAAATGGGGTACCAACATCCACCCTTTTATCTTGAATCCTTGTCCAAGCAAACCTAACAATCTTTCATCAGGTCAACTTAACAAAGTTTAAACAAGCACTAGAACAAAATGATGTTCCTAAAGTATCACACACTCCATGCAACTACTGCATAGGTGCTTGCCATATGCTCACAGATCTCTGTAGTATCAAGAACCTGCCCAGGGGAACATTACAGCTTTTGGCAGTTAAAAAAATTTATTTGCTTGACATCCCCCAAGGTCCTCCATAAAACACAAGTGATTCTGAAAAATGTTAGCAGAAACTTACACTGCATCTTGGTTTTTCTTCCCTAATTTATACCTCACACTATCTAAACCACTTTTGCTCTTGAAAGCTAGTTAAACTATGATAAATTAAGGACTGAAACAATCTACATACTAGAAACATCTTGTGAGTAAGAAAAGAGTTCACCTAAAACCTAAAACAAGATTAAACGAAAATAAGTAAATCTCAAATATTCTCCATTCCTGCAAAAATGCTAGAAGAAGGAGCTAAGGATGTAAAATCTTGAGGTAATTAAGAGGACCAAGCTTGTGCAGATCTGGCAAAGACCCACTGCCATTCCATGTCCAAGCACAGTTGAAGAAGAATCGAGAATTAGACCACATCATTGATAAATCCCTGGATAATACTTTTTGGTCTTTCCTTCAATATGATCATAGAACTCACGTTCCCCTGGAGAATGGTCAACATAACAGTTCTCTAATGTCTTCGGAGGCAAACCAATCAAACATTGCTTCTTTTAGTTCTTCTCAAAGAAATGGATACCAGTAGAATTTGCAAAAGAGATGTTATAGCAAAGCCAATAAGCAAAAGAAAAAATGCAATTAAAAGCAGTTTATGCTAGAATGAGAGAGACATAGACCACCAGAAAATGCAATAAAACAATATAATTATAATTTTGATTGCCATATAAACAACCCTCTAAGAAACAATGAACTGAAGTTAAAAGAAACATGACCAAATCCAAGAGATCATTGCATTATCCTTTTTTTGGTTCAGAGGGAGGACTGTGTAATTCCTTCCTTGAGCTCGAATGGCTCCTAGCCTTCCAAATGCCATTGGATTGTCTTTCAATATGCATCCATTTTAGGTTTTTTGCACCATTGATGCATTATGTGAAAGTATTGCAACATTTTCATGAAATCAAAATATTTTATTCAAGCAACAAAAAATGTAAATATCAGAAATGGTATTGATACCAAATTATTACGCCCATAAAATAGTAAGTAATTTAATAAATTAACTACAATCGTAAGAGTCCTTTTTGTTCCATTTTTCAAGGTGTGGTTTCCCAGATGCTCTTAGTAGAAAACAGCACCAATCTCAAAAAATACATCAAGGTACATTAAGTTGCAAGATCGAGAATCGATTGTTGACCCTATGACTACCCATTTGCACTCATGTGCCTCGTCCAAGATGACTCACCACTACTCCATCTTATCCACTTGGGAGCCTCTTATTCCTTTCTCAGAACTTAGTGTACCGTGAGTGACCAATATAATATCAAATTCTCCAGCTCCCCAACTTCTTGTTTTGTCTTTTGGGCAAAACAACTTCAATGGAAATCAAATATATAAATTTAGAGGTTCTAAATAGCAAAGAATTTGAGAAATTCAAGAATGAGATGAACAAAAGAAAAAAGGGAAAAGAAATCCTTGAATGGTTACCAAAGAAACTCCATCCAGATCTGATTTCGTAGTTCAATCATCCTACTTTGTCGATAACCCAATGGGTTTCCCGA